GGAGTGCAGTGGCGCAATCTCGGCTCACTGCAAGCTCCGCCTCCCGGGTTCACGCCATTCTCCGGCCTCAGCCTCCCGAGTAGCTGGGACTACAGGCGCCCGCCACTGCGCCCGGCTAATTTTTTTCTATTTTTAGTAGAGACGGGGTTTCACCATGGTCTCGATCTCCTGACCTTGTGATCCGCCCGCCTCGGCCTTCCAAAGTGCTGGGATTACAGGCGTGAGCCACCGCGCCCGGCCCGCATCATCCATTTAAACAAATATACAAGTTTTTCTTTAACAGTGGGAAATTGTATCTCATTCCATTTTCTCCTTAAACTCTTACTTCAATCTACATTCCTCAGATAATTTTATCCTAATGTAGTACACTTTTATGCTTAAGTATCTTTTGTTGATCAATAAAATACTGATTTTTAAATTTTAAAAATTAAGAATATCCTGTGCATCAAATTCCAGGTATGAAATATTTATTCTAGATCGGGTGATCATTGTAATTATTATTTGTACATAATTGATCAAAATAACATAAATATACTACAAATTTCTTTGACTATTAAATATAAAAAAGTAAAATTTTAAACAAATATATCTCTTAATGAGAAGGAAGAGCTTTTTATACTCCAATACGTTAATGTATCCACTAATAATTATTATTTCTTCCTAGAACAAGACAGGATTAAGCATCATGACCATCCCTATTGGGGGATGTTTTTATAGATGCAAGCACTGTGGCACCTACTGGCATAAATGCACCTGCTGATTGGAATGTTCTTTCCCCAGATCTTCCCTGCTGGTTTCTTCCCAGTATTCAGGTCTCAGCTCAAATGTGACTTCCTCAATGAGGCCTCCTGGTGATCAGATCTAAAGCACCTTCTACACAATCACTCTTTAGTGCTATACCCATTAATTTACTATCATCACACTTGTCACTACCACACAGATCTTGTTTGGTTACTTTTGTAGTGTTTGTCACTGCCAGAATGTCAGTTCTATGAAGAAAAGGACCTTGTCTGTCTTGCTGTTTGCAGACATGAGGAAGGTACTATGATATAAATGTGTGTCAGTGAATGAATGAATGATATTTGTCTGAGAGAACCATTCATTCTAACCGACATTTATGGAGTAACCACTTTGGAAAGAACCATTCTCTCTTTACTATCAAGTCAAGATACTCAAGGAAGGCAGCGGAAGAGGAAGGTCCATGTGGGCAGAGAAGCCTAGTCTTGAGATGTGATTTAGCTGGTATTTGGGTGGAACCAATAAACCAGCCTCAAAAATAACACAAGGGGCCGGGTGCAGTGGCTCACGCCTGTAATCCCAGCACTTTGGGAGGCTTGAGGCAGTCGGATTACTTCAGGTCAGGAGTTCGAGACCAGCCTGGGCAACATGGTGAAACTCCATCTCTACTAAAAATACAAAAACTAGCCGGGCATGGTGACGGGTGCCTGTAATCCCAGTTATTTGGGAGGCTGAGGCAGGAGAATTGCTAGAGCCTGGGAGGCAGAGGTTGCAGTGAGCTGAGATTGTGCCACTGCATTCCAGCCTGGGTGATAGAGAAAGACTCCGTCGAAAACAAAAAAAGAAAAAAGAAAGAAAGAAAGAAAAAAAATACACAAAGATGTGCAATTGATGCAGGGCAGGTGAGCCTGGAATTGGGCTTAGCCCAGGAGGGTTCTTGGTTTTGCTCAGGAAAGAATTTAAGAGCTACCTGGTAGAAAAAGCTCATGGCAGCTACAGCTCCCCAAGTGCTCCTGCAGAGCAGAGCTACCCTATAGGCAGTGGGCTGACAGCAGTAGCTCAAAGGCAGGTCTGCAGTCATATTTATAACCTACTTTCAATTACATGCAAATTAAGGGGCAGATGATGCAGAAATGTCTAGAAAAAGGGTGGTAACTTCCGGGTTGTTGGCTCATTGCCATGGAAAGGGGCAGTAAGCTCTGGGTGTTGCCATGACAATGGTAAACTGACATGGCACACTGGTGGGCGTGTCTTATGGAAAACTATTGCCCCATCCTTGTTTTGACTACTCCTCAATTTGGTTCCAAGTCAGAGCCCTGCCTCCAGAGTCAAGTCCCACCTACCTCACAATTATTATGTATCAGGTTTTTATTTTTTTTTTTTTTTTATTTATTTTTTATTTATTTTTTTTTTTTTGAGACGGAGTCTTGCTGTGTCACCCAGGCTGGAGTGCAATGGCCAGATCTCAGCTCACTGCAAGCTCCGCCTCCCGGGTTCACGCCATTCTCCTGCCTCAGCCTCCCGAGTAGCTGGGACTACAGGCACCCGCCACCTCGCCCGGCTAGTTTTTTTTTGTATTTTTTATTAGAGACGGGGTTTCACCGTGTTAGCCAGGATGGTCTCGATCTCCTGACCTCGTGATCCGCCCATCTCGGCCTCCCAAAGTGCTGGGATTACAGGCTTGAGCCACCGCGCCCGGCCATGTATCAGGTTTTTAAAAAGTAACACAAGGAAGGCTGGGCATGGTGGCTCACACCTGTAATCCCAGCACTTTGGGAGGCCGAGGTGGGCAGATCACTTCAGGTCAGGAGTTTGAGACAAGCCTGACCAACATGGTGAAACCCTGTCTCTTCTAAAAATGCAAAAAAAAAAATAAATAAATAAATTATCTGGGCATGGTGGCAGGCACCTGTAGTTCCAGCTACTTGGGAGGCTGAGGCAGAACTGCTTGAATCCAGGCAGCAGAGTTTGCAGTGAGCTGAGTGCCACTGCACTACAGCCTGGGGTGCAGAGCAAGATTCTACCTCAAAAAAAATAAATAAATAAATAACAGAGTAACACATGGAAATTAAACACAGATAATGTGCATCTGGAGAATCTGGACTATTTTCAGCCTGGGATCTTGCTGGTGCTCCGAAACGTGTAAGGAAATGTGTAGGGAGTTTTCAGACGGTGTGGGGTGGGGGAATGCCAACATATGGTTGGCTTTCCACAGTCCTGCTAAAAAGCCCTGCAATGTGCAGAACAAACCAGTCCAGCTAAGAAAAGTCCCACCCAAAATGCTGAGAGCACCTCTGTGCTCAATCAACAGTTGAGGCAAAAGGATGCTTTGCAAGTACAACACATGTATCAGTGCATTTTAAACTCATTATAAAATCGTTCTGTAAACCCAAAATAAAATTCTAAGCCCCAGAACCATCTGAAAAGACCCCTCCTCTAGGCCAAAGGCATTCCAAATTTAACCTGAAACACTAGTTCAGGCCGGGATGGGAATGGGAGCCAGACATGCCTCATTATTCCCTCCTCCGTTTGGAATTTAGGCACAGCTGACCAGCATTGACATCAACACTGGCCTTAAGACAGGTAGAACACACTCTTTAAGTCTGACAAGAAACATTTACAATCTACAATCTATCTGTCTAAAGCCTGCTACTTTGAGGCTTAATCTGCATGATGAATCCTTGGTCTCCACAACCCCTTATCTTAACCCAGATATTCCTTTCTATTGATTCAAATCTTTTTTTTTCCCCCCCAGACAGCTCTGTCGCCCAGACTGGAGTGCAGTGGCACTTTCTCAGGTACTGCAACCTCCGCCTCCTGGGTTCAAGCGATTCTCCTGCCTCAGTCTCCTGAGTAGCTGGGATTACAGGTGCATGCCACCTTGCCCAGCTAATTTTTGTATTTTCAGTAGAGACGGGTTTCACCATGTTGGCCAGGCTGGTCTCGATCTCCTGACCTCGTGATCTGCCCGCCTTGATCTCCCAAGTGCTGGGATTACAGGCGTGAGCCACCACGCCCAGCCTCCTATTGATTCCAAATCTTTAGATAACAATTCTTTCAACCAAATGTATAAAAAATCAAGTTGTAGCCCAACCACCTTGGGGACATGTTCTCAGGATCTCCTGAGGGCTCTATCACCGATCATTGGTTACTCATATTTGGCTCAGAATAAATTTCTTCATATATTTTACAGAGTTTAACTCTTTTCGTCAACAGTTCCCACTCCCCAGTGTTAATGTTATAAACAATTCAGTAAAATTGGAAAATGTAGTCTATTAAAAATTTGGGGCCGATTGCGCCAGCACTTTGGAAGGCCAATGCGGGTGGAACACCTGAGGTGAGGAGGTCGAGACCAGCCAAACATGGCCAAACCTCATCCCTACTAAACATGAAAAACAACAACAACAACATTAGCCGGGCGTGGTGGTGCGCCTCTAGTCCCAGCTACGCGGGAGGCTGAGGCAGGAGAATTGCTTGAACCCAGGAGGCGGAGACTGCAGTGAGCCGAGATCACGCTACTGCCCTCCAGCCTGGGTGAGAGAGCAAGGCTGTCTCAAACAAAAAAAAAAACCTTAGAAAAGCCCAGGAGGTTTTTTTTTTTTTTGAGACAGAGTCTTGCGCTGTCGCCCAGGCTGGAGTACAGTGGTCGAATCTTGGCTCACTGCAACCTCTGCCTCCCAGGTTCAAGCAATTCTTCTACCTCAGCCTCCCAAGTAGCCACCACGCCCAGCTAATTTTTATATTTTTAGTAGAGACGGGGTTTCACCATGTTGTCCAGGCTGGTCTTGAACTGCTGACCTCAGGTGATCCACCCACCTCGGCACCCCAAAGTGCTAGGATTACAGGCTTGAGCTACCGTGTCCGGCGCCCTGGAGGTCTTTAATCAAGTAAAAAAGGTGCATTATATCACTTGCTCAGGTTGCAAGCCTTTAGTGAGAAAGAATAAATGGAAATAGAAATCACTTATTGAAACAGATCTCAAACAGCAGTTTTGTTGATAAGACCGCAGGAAAACGTGGGAACTGTGCTGCTGGCTTAGAGAAGGCGCGGTGGACCAGACGGTTCCCCAGGGGAGCAGTCCCTCCGGGCCACCGCACCTGCATCCAGGTTCCCGGGTTTCCGAAGACTCTCAGCTGTTACCCAGGGCTCCGTTCCGAGCCACACCTGTGGCTCCTGCGTTTCCCCCTGGCGCACGCGCTCCAGAGCTGGGGCCTCTTGGATCCCGCTGAGCAGGAAGAGGCGGAGCGCGGGACGGCGGCGGGAAAAAAGCGCGCGGAAGGGGTACTGCCACTGCTCCACTTCGCCTGCCTCCGTCCCGCCGCTCGCCGTGCCACTTCGCCTGCCTCTGTCCCGCCGCGCCATGCCCGTCGCCGGCTCAGAGCTGCCGCGCCCGCCCTTGCAGCCCGCCTCACAGGAGCGGGACGCCGAGCCACGGCCGCCGCACGGAGAACTGCAGTACCTGGGGCAGATCGAGCACATCCTCCGCTGCGGCGTCAGGAAGGACGACCGCACGGGCACCGGCACGCTGTCGGTATTCGGCATGCAGGCGCGCTACAGCCTGAGAGGTGACTCCGCGGGCCACTGCGGGACCGGCGGCGGGAAGGAGGGAGGCGCGGCTGGGGAGAGCGCCCGGGAGCTGGCGGGCGCTGCGGAGCCCGTTTAGTCCTAACCTCAATCCCGCGAGGGAGGGGACGCATCGTCCTCCTCGCTTTACAGACGCCGAAACTGAGGCTCCCATTAGAGACGTGACACACAGGAGCGAGAGCCGGGTCCCAGCGGCTCCACGGCCGGGGCTCGCAGTCACCCCAGTGATGCCGTGGCCCCTAAGGCGGGCATGATCGGGCAGCGTTTGCCCGGTGCTGGAGAGTGAGGGAGAGCTGCCCGGGCTTGACCGGGCGCTGGTCTAAAAGTCCTGCCTTTTGCCCCTCCTCCTTCCTCCCCTGTTGACCGTTCCGCTTTGCAGAGTTTTCAAAAACTGGAGCGAAAGTGATGTGGGCGGGGCACAGGCGGCGGGGAGAGGAGAGTTGAGGCTGGCGCGGGAACTTGGTTTCCTGGCGGCCTCCCATCCAATCCCCACGAACCAGCTTTCCTCTTAAACCTTGAAAAGAGAAATTCGGGAGTCCGATTATAAGTTCTTATTCGTCCTTTCCTCTTTTCCTTTCAGACAGGATCACCCCAGGCAAAAAATGCCTCGCGGGTTATTGGCGTCAGGCTTTCAGGGGACAGTGGGGCGGGTGGGCACAGGACGTTAGGCAGCCGATGGCCCTGCCTAACATCACACGGTCCTGTCATCCTGGATCCTGCGCCTGCTGCGTGGGGGAGGGGAGACTCCAAGGTGTGTAAGCCAGGGGCTGACCTTGACCTCTCAGATAAATGGAGCGCAGCCTTGACACAGGGTTGGAGGTGGTTTTGAGTGGGGAAACCCATTCTTGATGAAGCAGATTCACTGTGGTTAGGTAGGGGGAAAGCCCTCTAGCCCACGGAACCATCTAGAGACTGGAATACACACCAGCTGCTGTGGCTGATCCGCGTGGACAGCTTGGGGAGTTTTGTCTAAGCAAAGGGATCCACTTTTCTGCAGCTTCAAGCCCAGGGGACTTTGATAAGCCGTAGACCTCACTTTTAACCCATCTTTCTGCTTAGACATTGAGCAAAGTACTTCTCTTTTTTTTTTTTGAGGTGGAGTCTCGCTCTGTCGCCCAGGCTGGAGTGCAGTGGCGCGATCTCTGGTCGCTGCAAGCTCCGCCTCCCAGGTTCACGCCATTCTCCTGCCTCAACCTCCCGAGTAGCTGGGACTACAGGCGCCCGCCACCACGCCCGGCTAAATTTTTTGTATTTTTAGTAGAGACGGGGTTTCACCGTGTTAGTCAGGATGGTCTCGATCTCCTGACCTCGTGATCCGCCCGTCTCGGCCTCCCAAAGTGCTGGGATTACAGGCGTGAGCCACCGCGCCCGGCCCCAAGTTACTTCTCATACAGCTTCCCTATATGTTAAAAATGGAGGAAATAATGCTTGGTAGGCAATTCTGATAAAAGCAGGTGCTTGCAAAAATCTCTCTCTGTTGTCTGAATATCAGCTATACCACAAGAGAGTGTGGGATGAACGAGTACTGCATTTAAAGATAAGTTTTTACACTTTTATTTCTCTGTGGCTCGACACTTCTGATGCCTCCCTTTTTGTCCCTGGGACACAGGCTTGGTGTTGTCTTCACACCTTTGTGACAGGATTAGCACTAGTGGGCAGTGGATAGTAGCTCCTCCCTTTTTCCACATGGTCATCCCTCCTCTTGCCACCATCTCACTGTGTGGAATTCCTGTGTCCAGTGGTCACCGGGGCACAGAAGTGCTGTCTCAGCCTGAATTGGGTTATGATGTGCCTTGCAGCCTGGCAGCTCCACCCTGATCTCTGGCGCACTTTGCAGGAGTCTAGGCTTTCTGGATGCTCCAGGGCCTCGTGTCCCAGGGCAGCTTTCTTCCCTGAAGAAAGTTGGATGGCATGATCTGTCTTCCTCTCTTGAAACTGTGTGGCAAATTGTTTTTCAGATGAATTTCCTCTGCTGACAACCAAACGTGTGTTCTGGAAGGGTGTTTTGGAGGAGTTGCTGTGGTTTATCAAGGTAAAGAAGTCGCTCCTATTAGAAGTCATTAGTCTGTTTTCAACACAGCAGCCAGTGAGATCCTTTCAAAAGTCAAAGCGGCCAGGTGTGGTGGCTCTCGCCTGTAATCCCAGCACTTTAGGATGCTGAGGCAGATCACCTGAGGTTAGGAATTTGAGACCAGCCTGGCCAATATGGCGAAACCCCCATCTCTACTAATAACACAAAAAATTAGCCAGGTGTGGTGGCACATGCCTGTAATCCCGGCTACTCAGGAGGCTGAGGCATGAGAATTGCTTGAACCCAGGAGGTGGAGATTGTAGTGAACTGAGATCGTGGCACTGCACTCCAGCCTGGGCGACAGAGGGAGAACTTGTCTCAAAAACAAAAAAAGACAACACAAAAGGTCAAAGCATATCATTCCTCACCCGCAAGCCCTTAGTGGCTCCATTTCACTCAGTAAGAGCCACGGTCCTTATGGGGTCCCTTTTTCAGCTCTGGCCTTGGCTGCTGCTCTCTGCACCAGCCCTGCTGTTCTTGTGAGTTTTTGTGCACACCGGGACATCCCCGCTCCCTGGAACCTTCTTCCCCCACACTTGGCTCCTTCCTTTGAGTCTCTACTCAGGCAAGCCTTCCTAGACCTGATTTAAAACTGTGACTCTTCCCCCAACCTCCTTGGTTTTTCTCCATAGACAAACGTCACCATCTGATGTATGTCAGCCTTTCCCCTCCCCTGTTAGAAGGGGGACAGCAGACAGTAAATAAATAAGTGAAATGTGCTGTAAGCTTTATGAGGGCAGAGGATTTGTTTCTCGTGTTCACTGTTTTATCCCTAGGGCCTCAAACACAGCATGCCACATGGCAGGAGTCAATATGTATTGATCACTAAATATAGATACCATCTGTTCCCGTGTTCATATAAACTAGAAGAGTCTCTTCAGTAACAAGGTAAACCCCTTCCAGAGGGCTGAGTAGGTAACCTCAGGCCGGGGCCAGAGTGCTCTGAAGACGGGCAGCAGCCCAGCCCAAGCTCCTCTGTGTTCTGTGTCCTGGTCTAGAACCAGCAATGTTCTGACCAGTGCTTTTTGGAAGGTAGCTGGAGTCTGGGCTCAGGTCTGGGCCATGCTAGAAGCTGGGATCCCTTCTATAGAGCCCTTGGTGTGGCTTGTATGGTCCTGGGGCAAGCCAGACCCAAGCCCTCCTCTTATCCCATTTTAGAAAGGGCTTAAATTTGGATCCAGCCCCAGTCTGCCTTAGCTCTGTATTGGGGTATTTTGTTCTGTATTGGCCTATCTCGATCGACAATGAGCCTTGGATTTGAAACATACCATCAGAAACCTCAGAAGATGACATTCTTAAACCGGCTAGAGCCTGGTCTGAATGGATGAAAAGGAGAGGCTTTTGAAGCAATATGTGAAAGACTGAGAAATGATTTGTTGGGAATAAAGAAAATCAGGACAAACTCAACAATAGAAAGGGAGGAAGCAAGAGACTCAGGAATAAAATGCATTCCCCTGTTTCAACTTAATGCTTGAATTCAGGATTCTAAGAAGTCCTTGTCAGGAACGTCAGACTCACCTCTGATAGAGTTACTCCATTGGCGACTCGATCAAATACAGGAGTTGATGCACCTGTACTGTAAAATACTGATTAGTCTGATCATTAGGAATATCCTGCCAGGTAGCAGATACACGGAACAGATTGCATGTAGGCATTAAATTCATTTTGGGATATCACATGTAGACAACACATTTGATTAGGAAACATAAAACTGTCAGATCGGTGGATATCACTTAGAGGTGTTTAGTCTAGAAAGCTTAGTTGGGGGGAATGGAAGGAAAGATCTGAGAGGGTGGTTCCAAAGAAGGGATCAGACCGTCCTAAAGCCCCCAGGAATCTGGGCTGGGACCAGCCTGCTTAAAGTTAGGATGGGCAGCTGGGCGCGGTGGCTCACACCTGTAATCCCAGCACTTTGGGAGGCCAAGGTGGGCGGATCACCTGAAGTCGGGAGTTTGAGACCAACATGGAGAAACCCCATCTCTACTATACAAAATTAGCCGGGCATGTTGGCGCATGCCTGTAATCCCAGCTACTCGGGAGGCCGAGGCAGGGGAATCACTGGAACCCAGGAGGTAGAGGTTGCTGTGAACCGAGATCACACCATTGCACTCCAGCCTGGGCAACAAGAGCGAAACTCAAAAAAAAAAAAAAGGATGGGTTCCATATGGGTGATGTCAAGTGCCCACCTCCCAGCAAGTCAGCAGGGGCCAGAGGCCCTTGTAGGTGGTGTCTTGGGGGGATCAACTGAGATGGCTCAGGATTTACTTGGATGCCTGCTCTGCCCTCCCCATCTCTTCCAGGGATCTACAAATGCTAAAGAGCTGTCTTCCAAGGGAGTGAAAATCTGGGATGCCAATGGATCCCGAGACTTTTTGGACAGCCTGGGGTTCTCCGCCAGAGAAGAAGGGGACTTGGGTCCAGTTTATGGCTTCCAGTGGAGGCATTTTGGGGCAGAATACAGAGATATGGAATCAGGTAAGGAGACAGAACAATGCCTTCCATTTCCTGAGTGCCCTTCCTGGCATGTGTTTGCTCTGTTGTTTTAGATAAGGTCTGGGGGATGAGTCAGTGTCCCAGGAGCTGATGTATAGCTTTGACCTTGTGAGGGGTGGTGCCAGTGAAGCCACAATTAAGCCTCATGAAGGCCATTTCACTTTTTTTTTTTTTTTTTTTTGAGACGGAGTCTTGCTCTGTCGCCCAGGCTGGAGTGCAGTGGCGCGATCTCGGCTCACTGCAAGCTCTGCCTCCCGGGTTTACGCCATTCTCCTGCCTCAGCCTCCGGAGTAGCTGGGACTACAGACGCCCGCCACCTCGCCCGGCTAGTTTATCATATTTTTTAGTAGAGACGGGGTTTCACTGTGTTAGCCAGGATGGTCTTGATCTCCTGACCTCGTGATCCGCCCGTCTCGGCCTCCCAAAGTGCTGGGATTACAGGCTTGAGCCACCGCGCCCGGCCTCACACTCTTGATGATTAGTACTTACTGGACGCTTGGCACTTTCCATACCTGTGTCATCGGCAGATAGCCGCATGGTTGGTGTTTGTGTTGGGGAATGGGAAGTTCATCCGTGGGACAAGGGACAAAATGCCCCCATTGCTTTGTGGTGGCTTTAATTGCCCTTTCAAGGCTGAGCCACAACATGCTGTAGGTGGCGCAGCTGTGAAGCACAGTGCCAGGGTCACCCTCTGCTGCCAGCTCTGCAGATGTGGAGAAAGAATGAAACATCTCACTCCTGGACTTCCACTTTACTGTCACTGTTGGTGTCACCTCTTGCTGGATGTCAGCCCAGCCCCTCCCACCTGTCCCTAGGAAAAGCAGATGCCACCTTGGGATGTGGGGGTTGTGTGTGCAATTTACTAGCTGGGCAGAGACCAGCAACCTGGAGAGCATGTGTCTCATCTAAGGGGACAGTCACAATTTACCTCCAGCCACCTGGAGGAATTTGGGCCTGGTGATGTCAGAATTATTCGATAAAAGCCTAAAATCTACATTTTATGTGCGATCATGAGATCTTTTAAATGTTAGTAGTTTCGGGAAGTTTAAAAATGCTGTGTGGACCTAGAATAGGCAGGTTCCTAAAGGCAGAAAGTGGAATGGTGGTTGCCAGGGACTGGGGAACAGGGAGGAATGCGGAGTTCATGTTTAATGGGCACAGAGGTTTTATTAGGGATGATGAAAAAGTTCGGGAGATAGATAGTGGTGATGGTTGCACAACATCGGGCATGTGCTGAATGCCTCTGAATTGCACACATAAAAATGGTAAGTTTGATGTTACGTGTACTTTATCACAATGAAAACAGTTGCTGTGTGGGCCAGGTTATTTGTGCAGGTAAGGGTTCTTTAGGTCGTTGCCTGCACCTCAGTTGTAGGGTGTCCTTAGGATGTGAGGCTACTCCCCTGGCTTAATGATGCTTTAAATCCTGCCTAGTGTTCAATTATTTCTTGGCACTGAAGAGGCCTAATAAAATTACGGTTTTAGTTTACAGTTGTATGAGTGCTTAGCTGTTGGATTTTAGTAGGGAAGTTTGTCCCTTTTTTTTTTTTTTTTTTTTTTTTTTTTTGAGATGGAGTCTCGCTTAGTCGCCCAGGCTGGAGTGCAGTGGCGTGATCTCGGCTCACTGCAAGCTCCGCCTCCCGGGTTCACGCCGTTCTCCTGCCTCAGCCTCCCGAGTAGCTGGGACTACAGGTGCCCGCCGCCTCGCCCGGCTAATTTTTTGCATTTTTAGTAGAGACGGGGTTTCACAGTGTTAGCCAGGATGGTCTCGATTTCCTGACCTTGTGATCCGCCCGCCTCGGCCTCCCAAAGTGCTGGGATTACAGGCGTGAGCCACCGCGCCCGGCCAAGTTTGTCCCTTCTTATATTTGATTTTGTTTTACAGACTCACAGGACATTTTTTTAAAAAAATGCACAGGAAGTTTCCCTGGACTGTACCCAGTTTCCTCCAGTGATAGTATCTTGGGTAACATCCTGTATACATTCACATTGGTGCATTCTTCAGAGTTGTCAGATTTTGCTAGTTTTACGTGCACTTGTATATGTGTGTATTTGCAATTTTAGCACGTGTAGATTGTTGTAACCACTAAATCAAGTTACAGAACTACACCACCACAGTTTTATCTTTTTAAAATCTTCGATGTTACCTTTTTCAGAACTGTGACCATGAGAGGACTTTCCTCCCAAAATTTTGAGAACTACTGAACCAGAATATAGTCTGACACTAATAGGCAGAAATTTAACCAGAGGAGATTATGAAGCTCCACAATTCAGTTAACAAATCACTTCTCAGATTCCAGTTCCATCTCAGAAGGAAGGAAAGGGATTAAAATCCAGAAACCAGAAATGGGAGCAAAGTACAAGGTGGTGTAATCATTATAGAGGCTTCCTGACGTTTCCAAGTCAGTCGTGTGTTGAGCTGCTAAACTCTAAAGTAATTTTAGGTGGAAGTGTTGGAAGCATGCTGCTGAGGTAATAGAAAGGAATCCATGGTCTTCTGTTAGTTGGAAAGTACATGGGATGCTATATTCTACATAAGATACAATACTTTCTGTGAGACAAGGATAAACTAGATTTGTCAGTGAAATTGTGACAAGAATCGTTGATGGGTTTAGAGCGTAAGTTCGTGGGGAGCACTGGAAGAAATTAAGATTGTTGAGATTAGAAAGGGTTAGCTATGAGGGGAGCAGGAGGAGGTGACTCCATGACAGACCAGATATTCAAAGGACTGTGTAAAAGAGGAATTAGACTTTGTTAGGGCTCCAGAGGACAGAGCCGGGAGTCAGACAGGGCCTTGAACTCAACCCACCAAGATCTGCAAACTTTGTGGAATGCACCAGGTATCTTGTAGCCATGGATCAAGGGGGGACCCTGGGTGAGAGGCTGTAATAGATGACCTCTAAGGCCATCTCATGACATGTGTGATTAATGTGTGTACCTGTCCTCTCTTTTTGACAATTCTACAGATTATTCAGGACAGGGAGTTGACCAACTGCAAAGAGTGATTGACACCATCAAAACCAACCCTGACGACAGAAGAATCATCATGTGTGCTTGGAATCCAAGAGGTTGAAAGAACCCCATCATCTTCATTTATACTAACCATACTCTTAGAGGGAAGCAATGTGGTTTTGTGCAGAGGCACCTGAGGGAGGCAGGACCCTGGGAACTTCCCCCAGCCACATGGTTGGTTGTGTGACCTTGGGCAAGTCACATTTTGCTCCACTTTCACCTTCAGATCATGAGGTTGGGTCCAGATGATTTTCTTTTTTTTTTTTCTTCCCCTGAGACAGAGTTTTGCTCTGTCGTCCAGGCTGGAATGCAATGGTGTGATCTTGGTTCACTGCAACCTCTGCCTCCCGGGTTCAAATGATTCTCCTGGCTCTGCCTCCCGAGTAGCTGGGATTACAGGCATGCACCACCACGCCCAGCTAATTTTGTATTTTTAGGAGAGATGGGGTTTCACCATGTTGGTCAGGCTGGTCTCGAACTCCTGACCTCAGGTGATCTGCCTGCCTCGGCCTCCCCACCAGATTATCTTAATTTGTGTATTTATACTCATTCTTACTCTGAAAAGGGCTTTAAATTGCCTAGAAACTACATGTAAGGTGTTAACATTTTAAATGGAAGCCGATGAAGTTCTAGGTCGCTGCCACCTCACTAACATTTTTAACAATTATACTGTAAAATTCAGCTCTACCAGGATGTAGAGCCAGGTGTGGTGGCTCAAACTTGTAATTCCAACAACTCCAGAGGCCAAGGCAAGAGGATGAGTTGAACCCAGGAATTTGAGGCTGTAGTGAGTCATGATCATGCCACTGCACTCCAGCCTGGGCAAGAGTGAGACCCCGAATATTTAAAAACAAGAACAACAACAACAAACTCTATCAGGATATCATAAGTACTTAGGATGGAATATTTGCATCTGTAATAAAGACTTTTTTTTTTTTTTTTTGAGACACAGTCTCACTCTGTTGCCTAGGCTGGAGTGCAGTGGTGTGATCTCAGCTCACAGCAACCTCCACCTCCCAGGTTCAAGTGAGTTCCCTTCCTCAGCCCCCGAGTAGCTGGGACCACAGGCATGTGAATTTTTGTATTTTTAGTAGAAACGGGGTTTCACTGTGTTGGCCAGGCTGGTCTCGAACTCAGGTTGGCCTCAAGTGATCTGCCCACCCTGGCGTCCCAGTGTTGGGATTACACGCATGAGCCACTGTGCCTGGCCATGTAATAGAGACTTTTAATATAGGAGGGTGTACCAGAAGCACCAGTTCCCTGTGGCAAACAATTATTCCTGCTGTATTTGTAATTTGGTGCCACGAAGGTAGCCCAGATCCCTTCAGCTCTGATGAAAGAGCATTGCTTCAGCGGACATCTGCAGAAAGCTTGTGCCAATGGATAGTCTCCCTCAGTTCCATGCCATCGCTGCAGGGGCTGTGGGTTATGGACATCACTGCAGCCCAGTGGCTCTCCTGGTCTCCACCATATGAGTTGGCTTGTTTTTCTCCTGTTTTACTTGGCCTTTAGCTGTGGTCTTTCAAACCACCACCCCTCCTTATCTTCCTCTGTGCTGCTTCCTCAGATCTTCCTCTGATGGCACTGCCTCCATGCCATGCTCTCTGCCAGTTCTATGTGGTGAACAGTGAGCTGTCCTGCCAGCTGTACCAGAGATCGGGAGACATGGGCCTAGGTGTGCCTTTCAACATCGCCAGCTACGCCCTGCTCACGTACATGATTGCGCACATCACGGGCCTGAAGGTGGGCTGTCTCGGGAAGGGTGACTTGTGAGCCTAACACACTGAGCTCTTCAGTTCTTTAATATGGGAAGACAAATTGCAGAGAGTTTAGTCTCTGAGTTTTTAATTTGATATGTGTAAGTAAGACGTGAACGGGCTTTTACTTTGAAACCTTCCTTTTCTGGAAGGTTTTCTGGCCCTGTGGTATATGCACTAACAGATCTATACAGGTTGTTTGTGATACGGCTTCTATGAATTTTCTCAAAAGCTATGCTGAGGTTGGGTGTGGTGGCTCATGCCTGTAATCCCAGCACTTTGGGAGACTGAGGCAGGAGCAATTACTTGAGGTCTGGAGTTCAATACCAGCCTGGGCAACAAAACAAGATCCTGTTGCCACAAAAAAATGGAAAAGCTACACTAAACTATTATTATTTTTTAAAGCCTTGAGGTATCTGCATACTCTAATGTTTTTAAATGATGTTTTAAAGGAATTGAAACTAACATACTGTTCTTTCTCCCCCGGGTTTATAGCCAGGTGACTTTGTACACACTTTGGGAGATGCACATATTTACCTGAATCACATCGAGCCACTGAAAATTCAGGTGAGAATTAGATGTTATACTTCTGGGTTTGATACCTTCTCTTGATAAAAGGTTGATTGTGGAGCAGGCATCTGCTCAATGCTGTGTCCAAGATAAAGATGGCTGCTCCGAATGCGGGGCTTCAGTTTAGGGAGAAGTGGTAGGCAGGTGGGCAGGACAAGGCAGGCATCTGCCTCAGCAACCATGGGCACTTAACACGTCAGGTGCTGTGTGGTACTAAGCACCAGCACCAGAGAGGGAAGAGCCACATTCAGGCCAGGGGATTGTCCAAAAGGGGGCATTTAAACTCATTTTAACTTGAAGGAGAATTGAAGTGCAAATGTTTTTCCCTTTTTTTTTTTTTTTTTTGAGATGGAGTCTTTCTCTGTCGGCCAGGCTGGAGTGTGCAGTGGTGCGATTTTGGCTCACTGCAACCTCCGCCTCCCAGGTTCAAGCAATTCTCCTGCCTCAGCCTCCCAAGTAGCTGGGATTACAGGTGCATGCCACCACACCCAGTTAATTTTTGTATTATTAGTAGAGATGGGGTTTCCTCATGTTGGCCAGGCTGTTCTCAAACTCCTGACTTCAGGTGATCCGCCTGCCTCAGCCTCTGAAAGTTCTGAAATTACAGGCATAAGCCACCACCCTGGCCATAAATATTTTTCATTAATTTTACATTAAGTACAATATTTAGGTCTAAACTTCAAAAGTCTTTTGAAATCCCTAAGTTATAGCAGCCAACAATTGATTTGAAATGGCAATAAAAATATAAGTTCATCTGCTTCATGAGCCTTAAGGAAAAAAACTCAGAACCAGAGACTTTTTAGCCCCTTCCAGGTTAGATTCAGGTTTTAAAAGTTACTCCTTTGAGGGAGTTTGACTGCTCTTGAGTGGAGGGTGACTTTAGGCTTATTCTCTCTGGCTTTCTGCTCCAGTCGTTTTTAGACATAGTAAGAAGTTGTAACCTGTCTTCACATCCTAATTGCCACTGTCTGTTCATCCCAGGAATCCTGGCTTTCATCCCTTTCTGTTCACTGTCCATGCATGTTATCTTTCCTTCTTTCTGCCAGGGACAGATGGGTTAGGGATTGTGGAATTCAAGTAAACTTAGAGCTACTATGAGTTACAAATTGACTGTGTTTCTGTCTTTAATAAATTTGCCAAGAGTGATTAAAAGAACTTACACAGCTGGTTGCACTCCAATCATGTTATATAACCTACAGCAAGGTATCGACAGGACCATACTCCTGTAAAATAAAACTTTGTTGATCACCTCCTGTGTGCTTGTTTCATGCACATGAGGAGCAGTTACTACAGGTTGTACAATTATAGCAAAATAATGATCTTATTTTGTTTTTAGCTTCAGCGAGAACCCAGACCTTTCCCAAAGCTCAAAATTCTCCGAAAAGTTGAGAAAATTGATGACTTCAAAGCTGAAGACTTTCAGATTGAAGGGTACAATCCGCATCCAACTATTAAAATGGAAATGGCTGTTTAGGGTGCTTTCAAAGGAGCTTGAAGGATATTGTCAGTCTTTAGGGGTTGGGCTGGATGCAGAGGTAAAAGTTCTTTTTGCTCTAAAAGAAAAAGGAACTAGGTCAAAAATCTGTCCGTGGCCTATCAGTTATTAATTTTTAAGGATGTTGCCACTGGCAAATATAACTGTGCCAGTTCTTTCCATAATAAAAGGCTTTGAGTTAACTCACTGAGGGTATCTGAAAACGCTGAGATGATGAACAAAGGAGAATGAAATGTATGTGCTCTTAGCAAAAACACGTGCGTACATTGCAATCCCACGTCCTTATAAAGAAGGTTGGTGAATTGTAAGAATTTCACAAGCTTCCCTCAAATCTGAGGGAGCTGAGTAACACCATCAATCATGATGTAGAGTGTGGTTATGAACATTTAAAGTTACAGTTGTTTTATATGTTGCTATAAAAAAGTGTTCTGCATTTGTCCATGCTTTGTTCATTCTGTAGTGCCACTTACCTGCTCAGTTCCTTCCTAAAATAGATTTAAAGAACTCTCCTAAGTAAACATGTGCTATATTCTGGTTTGGATGCTACTTAAAAGAGTAGATTTTAGAAATAGTGACTATATTTTGTCCTATTTTTCTCATTTTAACTGCATCTTATCCTCAAAATATAATGACCATTTAGGATAGAGGTTTTTTTTTTTTTTTAAACTTATAACCTTAAAGGGTTATTTTAAAATAGTCTATGGACTGCCATTTTGCCCTCATTAGCTTCAGCATGGTATGACTTCTCTAATAATTAAGCAAGAAAAAGATGCAAAACCACTTAGATTAAGCAAGAAAAAGATGCAAAACCACTTCAGGGTTAATCAGTGAAATCTTTTTCCCTTCACTTCGTACCAGATACCCCCTGGTGTTGCACGACTATTTTTATTCTGCTAATTTATGACAAGTGTTAAATAGAACCAAGAATTATTCCAACAAGTTATGCAACATGTTGCTTATTTTTAAAGTACAGTTTAATGTCTAGGTGCCAGCCCTTGATACTTTGTAAGAACATCTTCCTGGACTTTGGGTTAGTTAAATCTAGACTTATTTAAGTATTAAGTAGGATAATGTGTATTGATTTGCTAAAAGAATCAAGTAATAATTACTTAGCTGATTCCTGAGGGTGGTATGACTTTTCATTGAACTAATCTTGGTAGGATTTTTAAAAATCCATTTCTGTAAAACTATTTCCAAGAAATTTTAAGCCTTTTCACTTCAGAAAGGAAAAAGATGTTGGGGCTGAGCACTTAATTTTCTTGAGCAGCAAGGAGTTTCTTCCAAACTTCACCATCTGGATACTGGTGTTTCTTTACAGATTCCTCCTTCATTTCTGTTGAGTAGCCGGGATCCTATCAAAGACCAAAAAAAATGAGGCATGTTAACAACCAACTGGAACAAAAACAGATTTTATGTATTTATGCTGCTCCAAGAAATGCTTTTACGTCTAAGCCAGAGGTAATTAATTATTTATTTATTTTTTATTTTTTGAGATGGAGTCACTCCATCTGTTGCCCAGGCGGCAGTACAGTGGCACAGTCTTGGCTCACTGCAACCTCCACCTCCCAGGTTCAAGTGATTCTCCTGCCTCAGCCTCCCATGTAGCTGGGATCACAGGCACCTGCCACCATGCCTGGCTAATTTTTTGTATTTTTTTGTAGAGACGGAGTTTCACCATATTGGCCAGGCTGGTCTTGAACACCTGACCTCAAATGATCCACCTGCCTTGGCCTCCCAAAATGTTGGGATTACAGGCGTGAGCCACCACACCCAGCCCCGAATTAATATTTTTAAAATAAGTTTTGAGATTGTTGGAAATAGGGCAGAGGGACACATTTTACTGGCTACTTGCCAGAGTTAGTTAACTCATCAAACTCTTTGATAATTTAGTTTGACCTCTGTTGGTGAAAATGAGTCATGGTCTCTTGAACATGATCAGAATAAACGGCCCTAACCACACAATTGTAGTCAAAACTTTTTAGGTCACTAACTTGCTAGATGGTGCCAGGTTTTTTTGCACAAGGAGTGCAAATGTTAAGATCTCCACTGGTGAGGAAAGGCTAGTGTTACAGAAGCCTTGTCAGAGGCAATTTAACCTCCAAGCCCTGGCCCTCAGGCCTGAGGATTTTGATACTGACAACTGAAGAACCGTTTGTTTCTGGATATTGCAAATAGGAGTCAAAGCTTGGTGCTCCATGGTCTAGTTCCCGAGACAGGCATGGTAGTGGCTGGCAGCATCTCTGCAGGGGCCCCCAGGCCACAGCTCACCTTGGGAGGCATGTAGGAAGCCCGCTGGATCATCACGGGATACTTGAAATGCTCGTGCAGGTGGTCAACATACTCACACATCCTAGGAGGAGGGAATCAGATTGGGGCAATGATGTCTGAAGTCGGATTATTCACATGGTGCTAACTTAAAGCAGAAGGGGCAAGTACCACTCAGAAATGACAGTGTGGGCCAAGGCTTAGCTGTGTTACCATGCGTTTCTAGGCAAGTTCCTAAACCTCTGTGCCTCAGGTGCTTTTCTTCTAAAATATAGCAATGTGGGGTGGGGACTTTGATGAAATGAACACATGAAGTCCCTCTAGAGGTTTTGTGATGCCCTTTAAAAGGCATCAATTCAGACTCTAAATATCCGGAATTATTTGGGTTCCTCTGGTCAAAAGTTAGATGAATAGATTAAAATCACCAAATTTTGTGATCTATTTTTTAAGAAGTGTTTGTATTTTTTCCTATGGCTGCATTAGCTGCCAGGGGCTTGGGGTTTTTTTTTGGCTGGGAGGGCTGTTTTGTCACTGCCTCAGCTGGGCATCTAGGAAGCATTAGCACTGTGGACTTTCTCGGTGCACTTTGCACCTGATAAACAATCCGAACAGGTCCATGGGACCACAACTGAGGGAGGTGGGACACACCCACCTCCATCCAAGAACCGAGACATCTAGGGAACCAAACCCAGATGCAGAACAATAAAATATATTCCATGCTCTCCACCCAAAAAATAAAATCACCAAATGAGGTTCCTTTCAGCTATACAAATGATTGAGATGAAAAGCAGAGGATTTAGAATCGGGGCAATCTGTGTTCAGGTTCTGCGTCAGCCACTTTGTAGTTCTGAGCCTTGGGGCCAGCGACCGAGATCTGCTGCCTGACTTCCATCACCTGTTATTGAACAGCTGTGACAGGCAGGCTGATATGGTTTGGATTTGTGTCCCTGCCCAAATCTCATGTTGAACTGTAATCCCCAGTGTTGGCGGCGAGGCCTGCTGGGAGGTGATTGGATCATGGGAAGTGGTCCTTCAAGAATAGTTTGGTACCCTTTCCTTGGTGCTATTCTCGAGATAGTTATCACAAGATCTGCTGTTTAAAAGCGTGTAGCATCTTCCCCCCTCACTCTCTCTTCCTCCTGCTCTTTGCCATAAGAAATGCTTGTTCCCCCTTTGCCTTCCACCATGATTGCAAGTTTCCAGAAGCTGAGTAGAAGTCGCTATGCTTCCCGTGCAGCCTGCAGAACTGTAAGCCAATTAAATCTCTTTTCTTTATAAATTACCCAGTCTCAGGTATTTTTTTATAGCAGTGCAAGAATAGACTAACACAGTATAAAATAGTTCTGCTATATTAAAAGACAGCACCTGTCTACTCACTACATACCCCCCCCGAAGAGAGAAACGGTTACCATTATTACTGAAGCCTCCTATGTACCCTCAAGGGTCCCATTTATCTCTCACAGTCCTGAATTTGGCGTTGCCCTTTCCCAGTGAATGCTTTTTTGCCTTTGCTATATACTTGCAGTGATCTTTCTGTGGGACATTTAATTCCAGGAGACAAGAAAAGTGTAATAAGCAAAACCCTATGTGTGCAGATGACTGGAAGGAGATTGTCCTAATTTAAAAGACCACCTGGGGCATTCTGAGAAATAAGATGAAATAAATGTATGTCTACACCATGGAAGACTCCAGTACTGGGAAGAGGAGATGGGACAGAAGTATAGAATACACGTGATGAAAACAGGAGCTGGTTAAGGGAGTAGTGTGGTTGCAAGCCTCACTTTCAATGTACTGAAAAAATAAAGTGAGTCAGCTACCAGACCCTATCCTAGGAGGCAAAATGACTGTTCGTTGGTGGGTCTCTGCTGTTACTGCCCTGTGTGGAGAAGTGGAAGCAGAACCCACTCCGCCTGAGAGTTACAGGACGGGCCAGTGGACAAGGTCTTAGTGTTTTTTGGTCATGAAGGCAGAATTTACAAGCTCTGGCCTAGATTGAGGGACCCTACTGAAGCAGAAAGTATTAATCCCACATTACTGACCTGTTTTTAAGGCTTGCAGAGACTGATATGTAGTCAAATATAATCAAGTGCTGCACCAGTTCACAGAGGCCAACTCCACCAGCATGGGGGCAAACAGGAACTAAAAGGAAATTGTTTCTATGTAATACCAAGAGTAGGGCAGGGAGAGGAAGGGGTGAAAGGGAACTTTCTGGTTTTTCTTATTGCCCACAGGTGATTAAATCATTAATTAATATTTAGGGATGAAATTCCAAGATGAAAATCATCAATAATTCCCGGATTAAGGCTAAATGAGTTAGAAGAAATCAAAATGGCAAACTAGAGACTCCTGCGCATGTGAACTGCAAGCCATCAAGGGAGGTGTCTGATTAGTGGGGAAATGAAGGTCTGGTCTGCAGCCACTGCAGCACCCTTACTTTCAAACTTTTTGGCCATCAGCAATACTGAGAGGTTCTCATTGACACTGCCCAGTCTGCAACTGTCAATCTGGAGGAACTGCAGGGCCTTCGCCTGTAGGAGTTGCTTAAATATCACTCTATTGTGGCACTGGAAATAGAATTGAACATAACACCAACAGAAGAGTCAGCCTTGGCCCTCAGGATCTCTAAAACCTGGCAACGCGGCCCCTCTATGCCAATCATTACTCATCAGTGGCCTTCGGGAAGCCCAGACTGTATTTTGTCTTTGTTCTCGCCAGGCATGAGGCACGTTTTTCTAGTGTGGGCAGGGACCTTGTGCTCACTTTACAAATCTGCTAATGCAACAGTGTGAGTCAGGGTAAAATCACACTGGCTCACCATTTATGAGGGAATGACTGTCACAGCGACTGGTAAGTGGGAGATGAAGCATCAGGATGAAATACGGTGACAGTGATAAGCAGGTGGCACAGACGACAACGCGGAACCGCGGCAGAGCAGTATTGCTCCTTTTGCCGGGAAAACAGAGACTCTGCTCCTCACGCTGCTCTGCTCGTGGGCTGACTGCAGCAGGTTTTGGCAGGCACTTGGGCTTCGTTTATAAGCTCAAAAAGTGAACGCAGTCATGTTTATTCAATTTGAAAGCTGGCTTTCTTAACACCATTTTCTGCCCTTGCAATAGCAACTTTAAATTGCTGCCTTGTCAATTTCAATTAGACACTTTGAAAAAGAA